CTTTTCCCACCCTGGTGGCTTAAAATTTGGTTTCTTTAGTGAGCTGTGATGTGGCGGGAAAAATAGCCCCGGAGAAAAGATCTTGTCAGAGCCAAACAAAGAGTTCGAGCTGACGTCTGTTATTTCTGTCTCTCAGGCTCCATCGATTTTCAAAAACCTGGTGATTTGGCTGCAGGGTGATTATCAGTGATTACAGTCCGACAGGTCCTGGACAGATTTAGATCAATTTGTTTGACAGACTCGTGTTCATGTGGAGGGGAGTGTAAATGTGCCTCAGACATGGGAAAAGTACTCTACGGCATCCAAAATGCTCACGTTCCCAGTGCTGTGACTCACAGTAGCTTCATGCAAGCTGCAGGAAAGCCTGACCCTTCACCCCGCAGGTCCGAAGAGTCTACACCACCTTCTGGTCTGAAGGCTTCTGTGACATAAACTGTGAAGGTTTTACGTTTCAGTCCTGTTTGTGGATTTTACAGACTGCGTCGAGTGCAAGACAAGAAAGTGAAACACAAAGGCCAAACAGGAAAATCAAACAAAGGCACGGAGGCCTGGGAATATATGGAAACAGCTGCTCTGATAAAGACTAAAGAGGAGAGAGACTCCCGTGGTTTCAGAGACTTCCTGTTTCTGTAATGAAATGTAATTCACACATGCAAATCAGTTCATAACTCTCGTGTAATGTCTGTGGATTCTTGGTGAATATTCAGTCTCTTCATTAAAAGGAAATTCACAGCTGTTTGTTTCTTTGGACGTGAGCAAACTTACAAACCAGGCATCGATGCAGCTGTTTTTTAAAGCACACATTTTCCTGCACAGTTCAGCTGTTTGTGCTCTCTGTGGAAGAACGTCCACGCGCTGCTGTCCAGGTCAGCAGGATGTTGTCCAGGTGTGGACGTCAGACAGACCTGACGGACATGTCTTTGGCTGAAGGTACAACATTTATATTCAGCTTGGATTCCCCTTCAAAGTGAGACATTTGCCTTTTAAATAAAAAGTGACACCTTAAGTGAAGAAATAAGAGCTGCCCAAAGTGTGAAAAATGTACTTTGAGTTCATTTTTCAAAAATAAATCTGCAGTGACAAACTACCTTTTACACCGGCGCCGCTGTAGTTTCCAGATATTTAATGATGAGCATAAGCTAATGATTGCTTCAGAAAGACTGATAGCACAGGCTGAAATAATTCATGGCAATCTTTAGCAGCAGCTGAAGGACACTGATGCTGCTGAATTGTTAAAATCCTTCACTGCAATATTTATGCTTCCCGCTCGGATCTCAATCCTGCGAGAGGAGGAAGTATCTGCATGATGATGTCACTTAGATTTATCTCCGTGCTCGTTTAAATATGAAACGCTGTAAGTCGTCCTTCCGCACCAGGAACAGCTGCGGATGCTGAAACCCACCACAAGCTGCAGTCCCACCAATGTCCACTAGAGGACAGCACCAATGTACATTTCATCAGCGCTTATAGTTTTGCATTATTAGGGGCGTGGCCTCTTTGACTGGGAGGCGGCTGGAGCTGCTAGCTATCTGCTAGCTGAGCTGGACGTCTGGGCCGTGTTTGGGCTGTTGGAGAGTTTGTAACGACATCATGTGACCGCTGTGAGGTCACTGTACTAACAGAGCGTGCACTCTGGTTTTGTTGAGTGAAAGTCGAGATGATTGGATGTTGCTGAGCACCAATGAGCAGGTACTCTGTGTCTGCGTGATACGGCGCGCTAACCAAAGCAGCTAACATTACCTGAAGTTTGAGCATGCTAACAGCTGACTAAAACAACAAGTTGTAGAAGCTGAAATGCTTAAGGTGAGACAAAAGGAGCCGTCACACAGCCGAGGACGATGGTGGACATCCTCGATGAGACGGTGCTAATGTAAAGCAACCGTGTGGAGCTGTAGCGCTCCAGCAAACAGCGAGATCGTTTCCACGGTACTAAACACGCTTTTATTTGCCATAATAACTGGCTGTGTTTCAGATGCCCGTCGATGCTTCATCTTTATCTACAGTGAAGCGCTGCTATCTGAACCAACAGCTCTCTGACTGCAGTGATAACGTTGACGCCTCTCCTCTGATCGATAATTGACGGGAGCTCTTTATTGACCCGTGAGCTGCCGTGGCGACTCGGTCGGAGACCTGCAGCACGAAGTCAGAGTTCCTCTAATTACCGACGCAGTCTCCGTCTCATCTGGGTCGTCTCTCTGCGTGACGACGAATCGGCTCGTATCTGATTGATAATCGGAGCAGAGTCATGCGGTGCGATTGCTGTTTGTGGAACGCGGCGCTCGTAATTACTTTCACTGAGGTTTGTTTGCACAGATCAAAGATGAACTCGTTTCCCTCAGATGCAAATGTCCTTCGTGTGTTAGAAGAGCGTCCTCGTGCTCAGGGTGGTGTTCAGGTCAGGAAACAGCTGCTCACAGACAATAAAAACACAAAACCATGAAAATAATCACATCAATCACTGAAGCACAGTATTGTGACTGTACTCTGTGGCTGCAGGACAGCAAACACATTTAAAACCTTTATTTCTGGAGTTTTCTTTAAAATGAAAGTATGGTAAAACAGTGGTTTCCCCCTCTCTACATAGAAACTTTGGAGACTTTGTTTTTATGTGTTCGAGGAAATATCCCAAACAAATCCGGAGCCCCGTGACATGTACAGACTCTTCTTCACTCCCATCCTCCTCCTCAGGTGAGCTCATTCATTTTTTGGAAACACACGGCGTGTTTTTATGTCTCTCCCATGGTGAACCTTTCCTCGTGTCCCTGACAGCGGCGTGCGTCTGTGCAGAGTAAGAGGACGCAGATCTGTTCCCAGCCTGATTCTCAGCATCGCAGCTGATGTTTCAGCCTCCAGCATCTGTCGCAGGACAAACCGAGCATGCGTTTGACTGCTGACGGTTTGCCATCATGAGCTCAGTCTTTGGATTACCAAAACACTTTCCTGCGGTCCTTTTCATTTCCCGACCACAGAATCAGGAGCCCTGAAAATCTGGTTACAGAGTGGAGTGTTGGAGTGGAACTGAATGAGATTTTCCAGCAGCTGAAGAGAGAAGTGCAGCAGAAAGGAAACATTCACTCACCTGAGATGGTCAGAAACAAACCGTGTGACGCTCTGTCAGTACGCAGGCTTTTCTTGCTACCAGTTAAAAAGCAGTGGTCAGAGAAATGCTTTGCTCAAAGGCAGCTGATCAGTACAAAACTGTGCTGAGAAAAACAGCAACTTTACCTCTTTTCTGAAACTCGTGTGCACACGGCGAGCCTGAAGACACGGTATCGATCCACGCTGTGAGGTAGTCATGTAGGACAGGCTGCCGAGGCTCAGCTGTGGTCTGGGAGCCAGAGAGTGACCAATGAGGCTCCACACCTGCATCTGCAGGTCAAAGGTCAAGGCTTTTGCTGCTTTTACTGAACTCCAGGCCAGAAGGAAACGAGAGCTTCCTTTTGTGTGTGTCAGATATAAGTGTGTGTGCGCATCAGTCAGCTGGTATTAACAGTGACACAGTGAAAGGTGAACCTTTGGTTGCCATGGTAACCTCGGTTTAGGCATCTGCTGGTTTTGTTGAAGCCCCGCGAGATAAAAAAGGAGCAGGGATTTGAACTCGAGGGTGAGAGATGAGCAGGGAGAAAATCCTTATCGGCTGAACTCGCACTTGCAGCTTTATGTCTCTGCTGTTACTCGAGTTAATCTTCCTCCGCGGGACGAGCAGCGAGGGGTGCTGACAGCAGAGCGGTGCCCGGGCCTCGCCGTGGATCACGGAGACGCTCCCCGATCCAGTTTCCTCTCGGTTTAGTTCTCCCTTACAAATGAAGAAACCCAGGACGGACACGAGGAGATGCGCAGAGCGAGCGGGAACAAAGGGAGGCCTCGAGGGGCTCGTAACAAGACAAACACAGCAAAGGGATCGTGCGAGAGGAATCAAGATGGCAAACAGACGGCGGTGGGAGGCGAGAGGAGAAACGAGAGCAGAGGAGCGCTCACACGGAGGAGATGCTGCTCATCCTTCACCGCGTTCTGTGGAAAGAACGAACACAATGCACGTGCTCGAGTTTCGTTCCCACAGAAAATACCGCTGCTTCATTTCTTTCACTCATGTGTCACACACTGGCTCCCTGCAGTCTGCCAGTATTTCTCTCTGAGCAGACTGCAGCTGCAGTATTTCCCATTTACAGCTTCTTAAACACGCAAAAATTACCGAGTCACTGAAATGCGAGGTTAAACCTGTCGCAGCGTTTACATCTCGCTCTGTTTGTGGCTCGAGATCAGTGAGTGTGAGCCTGCAAAAGAAAGGTGCACATCACATCCAGCAATAAACACCGATAAGAAGTGAGTGCAGCGAAAGTTCACGATCTTGTTTTCATAACTGAAATCCAAATGTGACCGACCGTCATGAAACCCAGCGTTGATGGTGTGGAGTGGGTGGAGTTCTGTAAATGAACCAGGCTGAACAGTGAAGGTGCAGCGAGCTCACTTTAACTAAGAGCCAATCCCATGCACGTCCTCTCACTTGACGTCCCGCTCGACTCGACGGTGCAAAAACTTTTAGTGTTTGGACGAAAGCTCCTGTTTGGTGGACAGCAGAGAGGAACCTCTGCTTTCACCTGTCAGCAGGTGAAAGCAGAGCCTGACGGTCCTGTTAGAGCAGCTTTGAGCTCCACATGGATCAGAATCAGCTGTGCTGAGCACGTATGGAAGTGCACATGCAAGGAACTTCTTTTCTCTGTGCTTAACAGGACAGACAGCAGTGACAGTAGCAACATGGCACAGACACACACAGCACATTCATACTCATGTGTGTGAAGATGCTGAGATACATTATGGATGAAATAAGGTGATAAATCAGTGACATGCTGGCCTGTATACAGCTGTACGTACAGCACACTCAGACTCAGGCCGGGTGGATGTGTGAGTGCAGACTTTTACGGATCTGTCTGTGGGAGTGTCGGGGTCAGTGCACACCGAGACGGAGCAAGTGGGATTCAAACACGCGTGACGTCACTCACCCATGCGGACGGCAGAGAGGGTGTTGGCCTGGCTGAAGGAGAGCGGCGCCATGGTCAGCAGCGAGGCGACGGTGTAAATCGACAGCAGCAGTGCTGGCAGAGCCGGCATCTTCCACCGCTCCTCATGGAGAATGGTCTGCTGGCTGCCTGTACCGCCACCTGCAGGACAGGAGGACAGGTGAGATCCAACAACTCAGTTCACACGTTTCACACGTTCAGCAGCAGACTTCAGCAGGAAATCCTGCATGTGACGGTTGCACAGCACATCCACACTGACACAGTTACAGCCCCCTGCACTGCTGTACGGCCCCGAGGACGCTGCTCTTCAACGGGGAGGCAGCAGTTTAGAAATAATCAGAGGAAACAGAGTCAAAGGAAACAGAGTCGGAGGAAACAGAGTCAGAGAAAACAGAGTCGGAGGAAACAGTCAGAGGAAACAGTGTCAGAGGAAACAGAGTCAGAGGAAACAGTCAGAGGAAACAGTGTCAGAGGAAACAGAGTCAGAGGAAATAGTCAGAGGAAACAGTGTCAGAAGAAACAGAGTAGGAGGAAACAGTGTCAGAGGAAACAGAGTCGGAGGAAACAGAGTCGGAGGAAACAGAGTCGGAGGAAACAGAGTCAGAGGAAACAGTCAGAGGAAACAGAGTCAGAGGAAACAGAGTCAGAGAAAACAGAGTCGGAGGAAACAGTCAGAGGAAACAGAGTCGGAGGAAACAGAGTCAGAGGAAACAGAGTCGGAGGAAACAGTGTCAGAGGAAACAGATTCGGAGGAAACAGAGTCAGAGGAAACAGAGTCGGAGGAAACAGTGTCAGAGGAAACAGATTCGGAGGAAACAGAGTCAGAGGAAAAGAGGAAACAGAGTCGGAGGAAACAGAGTCAGAGGAAAAGAGGAAACAGAGTCGGAGGAAACAGTGTCAGAGGAAACAGATTCGGAGGAAACAGAGTCAGAGGAAAAGAGGAAACAGAGTCAGAGGAAACAGAGTCAGAGGAAACAGAGTCGGAGGAAACAAAGTCGGAGGAAACAAAGTCGGAGGAAACAGAGTCAGAGAAAAGTCAAGGAAACAGAGTCGAGAAACAGAGTCGGAGGAAATAGTCAGAGGAAACGGAGTCGGAGGAAACAGTGTCAGAGTAAACAGAGTCAGAGGAAACAGTGTCAGAGGAAACAGAGTCGGAGGAAACAGTGTCAGAGGAAACAGTGTCAGAGGAAACAGTGTCAGAGGAAACAGTGTCAGAGGAAACAGATTCGGAGGAAACAGAGTCAGAGGAAAAGAGGAAACAGAGTCGGAGGAAACAGAGTCAGAGGAAAAGAGGAAACAGAGTCGGAGGAAACAGTGTCAGAGGAAACAGAGTCGGAGGAAACAGTGTCAGAGGAAACAGATTCGGAGGAAACAGAGTCAGAGGAAAAGAGGAAACAGAGTCAGAGGAAACAGAGTCAGAGGAAACAGAGTCAGAGGAAACAGAGTCAGCGGAAACAGTCAGAGGAAACAGAGTCGGAGGAAACAAAGTCAGAGGAAACAGAGTCAGAGGAAACAGAGTCGGAGGAAACAGAGTCGGAGGAAACAGAGTCGGAGGAAACAGATTCGGAGGAAACAGAGTCAGAGAAAAGAGGAAACAGAGTCGGAGGAAACAGAGTCAGAGGAAAAGAGGAAACAGAGTCGGAGGAAACAGTGTCAGAGGAAACAGATTCGGAGGAAACAGAGTCAGAGGAAAAGAGGAAACAGAGTCAGAGGAAACAGAGTCAGAGGAAACAGTCAGAGGAAACAGAGTCAGAGGAAACAGAGTCGGAGGAAACAGAGTCAGAGGAAACAGAGTCAGAGGAAACAGAGTCGGAGGAAACAGAGTCGGAGGAAACAGAGTCGGAGGAAATAGTCAGAGGAAACAGAGTCGGAGGAAACAGTGTCAGAGGAAACAGAGTCGGAGGAAACAGTGTCAGAGTAAACAGAGTCAGAGGAAACAGTGTCAGAGGAAACAGAGTCGGAGGAAACAGTGTCAGAGTAAACAGTGTCAGAGGAAACAGTGTCAGAGGAAACAGATTCGGAGGGAACAGAGTCAGAGGAAAAGAGGAAACAGAGTCGGAGGAAACAGAGTCAGAGGAAACAGAGTCGGAGGAAACAGAGCAGAGGAAAACAGAGTCGGAGGAAACAGAGTCAGAGGAAAAGAGCAGAGTCGGAGGAAAACAGAGTCAGAGGAAAAGAGAAAACAGAGTCGGAGGAAACAGTCAGAGGAACAGAGTTCGGAGGAAACAGTGTCAAGGAAACAGATCGAGGAAAAGAGTCAGAGGAAACGAGTCGGAGGAAACAGTGTCAGAGGAAACAGATTCGGAGGAAACAGAGTCAGAGGAAAAGAGGAAACAGAGTCGGAGGAAACAGAGTCAGAGGAAAAGAGGAAACAGAGTCGGAGGAAACAGTGTCAGAGGAAACAGATTCGGAGGAAACAGAGTCAGAGGAAAAGAGGAAACAGAGTCAGAGGAAACAGAGTCAGAGGAAACAGAGTCGGAGGAAACAGAGTCAGAGGAAACAGAGTCGGAGGAAACAGAGTCAGAGGAAACAGATTCGGAGGAAACAGAGTCAGAGGAAACAGAGTCGGAGGAAACAGTGTCAGAGGAAACAGATTCGGAGGAAACAGAGTCAGAGGAAAGGAAAAGAGGAAACAGAGTCGGGAAAGAGGAAACAGAGTCAGAGAAGAGGAAAACAGTCGAGGAAACAGATTCGAAAGGAAACAGAGTCGAGGAAACAGAGTCAGAGGAAAAGAGGAAACAGAGTCAGAGGAAACAGAGTCAGAGGAAACAAGTCAAGGAAACAGAGCAGAGTCAGAGGAAACAGAGTCGAGGAAACAGAGTCAGAGGAAACAGAGTCAGAGGAAACAGAGTCGGAGGAAACAGAGTCGGAGGAAACAGAGTCGGAGGAAATAGTCAGAGGAAACAGAGTCAGAGGAAACAGTGTCAGAGGAAACGGAGTCGGAGGAAACAGTGTCAGAGTAAACAGAGTCAGAGGAAACAGTGTCAGAGGAAACAGAGTCGGAGGAAACAGTGTCAGAGGAAACAGTGTCAGAGAACAGTGTCAGAGGAAACAGATTCGAGGGAACAGAGTCAGAGGAAAGAGGAACAGAGTCGAGGAAACAGAGTCAGAGGAAACAGAGTCGGAGAAACATAGTCAGCAGGAAACAGAGTCAGAGGAAACAGAGTCGGAGGAAACAAGTCAAGGAAACAGAGTCGAGGAAACAGAGTCAGAGGAAACAGAGTTGGAGGAAACAGTGTCAGAGGAAACAGATTCGGAGGAAACAGAGTCAGAGAAAAGAGGAAACAGAGTCGGAGGAAACAGAGTCAGAGGAAACAGAGTCAGAGGAAACAGAGTCAGCGGAAACAGTCAGAGGAAACAGAGTCGGAGGAAACAAAGTCAGAGGAAACAGAGTCAGAGGAAACAGAGTCGGAGGAAACAGAGTCGGAGGAAACAGAGTCAGAGGAAACAGTGTCAGAGGAAACAGAGTCGGAGGAAACAGAGTCAGAGGAAACAGAGTCAGAGGAAACAGAGTCGGAGGAAACAGTCAGAGGAAACAGAGTCAGAGGAAACAGAGTCGGAGGAAACAGAGTCGGAGGAAACACACACACACACACACACACACACACTCTGTGTTGATGAGTTCAGTTCTGTCTCCCCAGCACCATCAGCACCATCCGAGCTGCTCACAGGCCAAACATCTACAGACTCGACCCAGAAACACTGAGACTGAACCCGATGTTAAATATCAAACCTGACAACGTTTTAAACACATGCCCTCGTAAAATGCACAATCTGTACTTTTTATAAATATTCCTAACTCCTTCCAGTACCCTGCTTTGTCTGCACACTACAACCTGGGTTTGCCATTTTTATCAGCAATATAAAATATTAATATTAATAATATTATATAATATTAATAACTGTACAGTACTCTGTTTTTCTAACTATCGTCCATGATATAAATATTTATTTCTGTAAAAGCTTCTGTTCTGTTTGTATATGTGTTTTCTGCTTATTCTATTGGCTGGGAAGATCTGCACATGCCGGCCACTAAAGGATTGGTCGCAGGAGCTTCAGCCACGACCACCTTCAGCTTCAGTACCATTTCTGAGCAGTTTATATCCTGTACAAGGATGAGCCAGAAACACACGAGCAGCTGGACTCCCATTCTGACCCTGGTTTGTCGTAGTTCACAGACAGCGCTGTGCTGTCACAGCTCAGTGTGACTGACGGTCACATTAGTTAATAATAAAACAACGGGCTGGCTTTCTTTGTTTCAGCATCTCCAACTAAATCGTACACAGAGGTGAGCAGCGTCTCTGAGCCGCTTCACCTCCTCCGGTCGTTTCGATATTCCCCTTGTGACGCCTGCTGTGGTGGTGGGTGGAGCTCAGACACCATCGCTCAAGCAAGCATTTTAAACAAGGATGATTTCACTGTAGAGCTCCTGCGGCCGCCTGATAAATGATTCCTTTACAGCAGAGAGAGATTTTAAAATGCTAAAAACCATCCCCACCACTGCGTACAGATGTTTAGCAGGCTGTCAGAGTGCAACCACACAACAGGCAACCGTCCACGCTGAAGGGGCGTATCAGAACCACGCTTTGGTTCTGCTGTGATTCACCGTGGGAGGTTCTGCACCACAGCCCACCCACCTGCTGCTCCAGTGGTTTGTTTGGAAGGGCAACCAATCAAGGTGAAATGTCTTGAAGGGGGCGGAGCTAAATAACTTGGTGTCAGACACATGGGGATTATTCTGAACAGTGACTCATGCAAAGCTGCTCCAGTAGAGCTGATATGGCGGCTCCTGGAGAGAATCTGACGGAGAACAGGACGAACAGAAGGTTTAAGAAAGGAGCTGAAAGTGTGGAGGAAACAGCAAGGACACGAACAACGAGGGAATATAAGGCGACAGTGTGAGCGACAGTAAACTGGGCAGACGGAGACGTGATGGTGAGATGAGACAGGAAACGAGGAGCAGCCGCAGGCACAAATAAACACATGATGACAACAATTAATTAGGATCTTTCCTACAGGAAGTGCTATCATGTCAGCCGGCGAGCAGAGCCAAGCGGGACCCCGCTGGTACGAGCCGCCACCGCAGTTCACTGCAGCAGCTCGGAGGCTAATCACAGCCGCAACTCTATTAGCTGCCTTCA